TGCTCCAGGTCAGGAGTTCGAAACCAGCCTGAGCAAGAGCGAGACCCCGTCTCTACTAAAAATAGAAAGAAATTAATTGGCCAACTAATATATATAGAAAAACACAGCCGGGCGTGGTGGTGCATGCCTGTAGTCCCAGCTACTTGGGAGGCTGAGGCAGCAGGATTGCTTGAGCCCGGAGATTGAGGTTGCTGTGAGCTAGGCTGACGCCATGGCACGCACTCTAGCCTGGGCAGCAAAGCGAGACTCTGTCTCAAAAAAAAAAAAAGAATGTACAACATAAACACATTTCAAGTTGAGGATAAAAGTCATAAACAGCAATGTACTCTTTTCAGTAAACCTCAAATAATTGAATATAACCCAAAGAAAACTGGCCATTTCCAAACTTCCTGGTCCCTTTGATAAATATATCTCAGATTGTAACATATTTTGACTTATAACTGTTCTGCTGTATGTAATCTGAAAGATTAATCAGGACATTGAAATTTCGTGGCCCGATTGCAGGATGGGGGATGAACACAGAAAGACACAGACACAAAAGACGATACAAGACTGCAATGCTTAAAGTACCAGTCGTTTTATTTTTATACTATTCCATTTGGCAAGCGTCCTGCAGCTATTTTCTCACGCCAGCTATTTTCCCAGCTACTTGTTGGTACATGACTTCCCACGGGCCAACAGCACCTGTTCCTTTAGACATAGCACCAGAGATGCCCTTCAACGTCTGATACCGTTTGCAAATAACAAGACGCCTGGCTTGTTTGCATAGCACAATAGAGGAAGATGTTTGCATCGTATCCTCCACGTCTCATACCATTTGAGGATAACGAGACGCCTTGGCATGCATGTAAAAGCACAGGTCCTTGGCCGTTTGTCCAGAGGAACAGTTCTCACTGCTAGTCAACATGTCACGTCCTGCTAATTGTGGAAACAAGCAATGTGCTTCCGTTCTGCTGACTTTGGGTTTCGGCCAATCTGACCCAGGAACAGCTCCTTCAACTCACGGTGGCTCACACCTGTAATCCTAGCACTTTAGGAGGCGGAGGCCAGAGAATCGCTTGAGACCAGGAGTTCAAGAACAGCCTGAGCAAGAAAAGTGAGACCCTTACCCTACTAAATATAGAAAAAATTAGTTAGGTGTGGTGGTACATGCCTCTATTCCCAGCTACTTGGGAGACTGAGGCAGGAGGATCACTTGATCCCAGGAGTTGGAGGTTGTACTGAGCTATGATCACACCATTGCACTCCAGCTGGGTGATGGAACAAGACCCCTATTTCTAGAAAAAAATATAAATCAAAATTATACAGAGATGTAAACAAAACTGTAAACAATGAAACATTAGATCTAAATAAAACACAGGATTTTATAATCATGACTAAACAAGGCCCATCAAAGCAAGATAAACAAACAAAAATAGGGTCATGAGAAAGAAGATTTCTGTTTCACAATAAAAAAAAGAACATAAACTAAAAAACAATACCGGCCTATTAAGAAAGAAGTAAACTAGAGAATAAAATAGCTCTTAAAATATAAGAAAAGAGATTGGAACAAAGTATTATTATTGATTTGATATATACACATAAACAAAATAAAACCTACTCAGGCTCCCAAATAATTAGAAAATGTACATTATTAAAAGTTGCCATTTTCCTACATAACCCAAATATAAAAAGATCATGGTAGTAACTTTCGCTTAAATGAGTGAGAAATCCCATTTAGTGTAGATGGCAGAAGGTACCCTTGTAGCTGACACTAGAGACAGAATTTTCCCCAATCCAGCAAACTAGGAAACGCACCAACAGAAAAGAGTCAATCACTCTTTCCGTTGCCCAAGCTGGAGGATTCCTTTGATGTCTGGAGTGAGGTCGGCATGCTCAGAGGCAGCCAGTGCGGCATTATATGTATCAGTGGAAAATTATAAAAGACCCACCTGTCTTCAGAGAATGCTCCACAGAGGATGAAAAGGAGCAAACTCTCCTGCTTGATAACATGACAACATGTAAATTTTCAAAACTTGCAGGATAAAATATCACAACAAAATATTCACTGAAGAATTTATTCAAAATCTCAACAACAATGTACAAACACATTTCTACAGGGCTTGGGCTGCCTCTTGCCACAGCACTAACAGCAGTGGGTCCCTACTGAGATGAGAGGCAGGCTGGGAGGCTTGACAGAGGATGCTCTGCATCTTAGCACCTAAGTGAACTGTGATCTAGGGTCTTACAATGAAACAAATGTGCACGCCAGGTGGTGTCCCAAATAAACGTTATATGCAATAAGGATAGAATGAGACTATGGCTCCATTCTCTCTAATGACAAACAAGTTCTACCCTTGGCTGGGCCTGGTGGCTCATGCCTGTAATCCTAGCACTCTGGGAGGCTGAGCCCCAAGGATTGCTTGAGTTGAGGAGTTCAAGACCAGTCTGAACAACAGCCAGACCCTCGTCTCTACTAAAAAGAGAAAGAGAGGCCGGGCGCAGTGGCTCACGCCTGTAATCCTAGCACTCTGGGAGGCCGAGGCGGGAGGATTACTCGAGGTCAGGAGTTCGAAACCAGCCTGAGCAAGAGCGAGACCCCGACTCTACTATAAATAGAAAGAAATTAATTGGCCAACTAATATATATAGAAAATATTAGCCAGGGATGGTGGCGCATGCCTGTAGTCCCAGCTCCTCGGGAGGCTGAGGCAGGAGGATTGCTTGAGTCCAGGAGTTTGAGGTTGCTGTGACCTAGGCTGACGCCATGGCACTCATTCTAGCGTGGGCAACAAAGAGAGACTCTGTCTCAAAAAAAAAAGAAAGAAAGAATTAGCCGGACATGGTGGCACATGCCTGTAGTCCAAGCTACTCGGGAGGCTGAGGCAGGAGGATTGCCTGAGCCCAGGAGTTTGAGGTTGCTGTGAGCTAGGCTGACCATCAAAGGGATGTAAGAATGTACAACATAAACACATTTCAAGTTCAGGATGAAAGTCTTAAACAGTAATGTACCCTTTTGAATATACCTCAAATATGGATTACAGCACTTAAGCCCAGGGAACAGAGTGAGACGCTGTCTCAAAAAATATAAAAGAAAGAAATTAAGAAGTTCTGCTCGGACGTGTGAGTGAAATTATAAAATTTTTACCTATAACACCTGCAACGCAAGTGTCCCTGAGCAAACACCACAGTCTTAGTGAGACCAAAGTCCTCAGAACAACTTAAAGAATCTTCTGTAGTTACATATTTCTATCAATTTCATCTTTAAAATCAATGAAAGAATAAAACCTCCTCTATCTATTCATCTGTTTCTCAACTTTCCAATGCATTCCATGTGTGTGCATGGCATTCCAATGCATTCCTCATAAGAGACATACAGACTCACTAGTTTCTCTTCAAATGATTATAAAATCAAGCGAAAAATGTTTCCTTATTGGTATCCTCAAAAAGAATTTACCAGATTCCCATGTACATTAATATATGACTTCCATGGGCAGCTTCTCTAATCCCAGTCTACAGAGAGCTGACAGTGCATCCAGCCGTGGCCCCTGAACAGGCCCTGCTGCCCGACAAGCACTGACGCCACATGCCCACACCCGTCTCCAACCCTCTTTGCCTGGGCGAAGAAGTCCCTTCCCCAGGACCGGTGTCCCATGGAGCTTTCACAGGTCCCTGTCACTTAGGGTCACAGTGAGATGAAATCCTGAGTGGAGGTGGACAGGGACTTTGAGAAGGCACGGGTGAGGTCGAGCAAAACAACAGGCAGAATCGGCAGAGTCAAACAGAAGATTCAGCGACTCCAGTGGGCTCAACATTTCAGGCAAAGGAGGGAGACACAAGCCACCCACCCTGAGAACATCAACCTACCCTGAGTCAGGAGCCATTCCTGTACCTCCTTTTCCTTTCCTCTTCACTATGGCGCTTTCAAGTGCTTCGTGTTTGTTAACGTGATTCTGCAGAAGTCGAATATACTCGAAAGTATATCAAATATGCTGCAGTGTATTCTGGAGAATGTACGACACCCCCATTCCTGGCCCATCAGCCACATATCACTACAAGACAACACCACAAGAACGTCTGCCCTGTGGGACAGACGGTCCCCTGCTGCCCGCTGCACAACTGGGGGAATGCAGGCAATAAACTCCTAACCCCCAGATGACAAACTAGTGACTATGACATCCTTCATACTGAACCCTTGGTCCCCACCTGGTTGATAGCCCAGAACTGCACCTGCGGCCAGGGGGGAAACGGGTTGGGCTGAGCTCTCCCCTACCAG